ACTGTTCACTACATGGATCAATAGCCCCTCAACTTTCATTAATTCCAATGAAGTGTAGATTGGCACCCATCCTTCTTTGAGGATTCATTGGCTCACAGTTTGTCTGTGGCATGAAACTGCGGGCCTCTTGGGAGTCCTCTTGCTCCAAAGCAGATAATTTGTTTTGGAAGACACTTCCCTAAGCCACTGACCCCCCAAATCGTATTCCAAATATATCTTTATTTCTGGAAGTACATCACGAATTATGCTATGCTACCTAGTGGAAGTTTTGCTCTCTTTATAATTAGTGTTGACCAAATCAGACCATTTGGGGACGGACACCTGAGTTCCTCAGGCAAGCCTATTTGAGGGCAAGGCAGAAAAATGTAATTGGAGCCTTTTATAATTTTTTTATACTGGGAAATTTTTTATTATAAATTTTATTTAAAATTCATAACAATGTTCCTAACCTTTGCAATCAAGATAATTAAGGACTCAATTTTTTTTTTCTTTTTCTTTTTTTTTTTTTTTTTGTCTTGAGTAAGAGAATGCATTTTTGTATTTCTATCTTTATTTTTTTTGATTCAAAGTATTTCTATCTTTATGATTTGACCAATAGTCTATGATAACTTATGAAGTGGTATTCTTGTTTGATAATTTAATATTTAATTATTTTTATTTGTTTCCATTGAGAGTTTTTTTAGAATTATTTTGACTAAAAGGTCTTTTATGTATATATATATTGTGTCGTTTGGTAACACTTATGTTTTTAGTTTTCTGTTTATATTTACAAAAATTTTAAAAACTCAAATAAAAACTTGTTTGGTAAATTTTTGATTTATAAATCAGTGGTCTCAGTTTATAAATTTGACCAAAAAATGTAAACTCAAAAAATATGTTTCCGTTTTGAGTTTTGAGTTTTTTTTTTACCACCCAACAATAGCCACCACTTGCCAAGCCTTTTCACCACCGTATTTCGCCATCACCACTCACTAGATATAATAAAGTTTTTGTACCAACCATGCAAAGTTTGAACCACTAAGGTGGAAGTTTGAACTTTAAAAATAATTTTGGAAATTTCAGAATTTGAGCAGTTCGCTCGAGTGATGGAAGTGTCGCTCGAGTGTACATTTTAAGCTCCTAGTAGTTTTAAAGGTAAATGCACTGTCATGACCCAAACCCGCCCCTATGAATTAAGGTCATAACTGACCAGTAATCATGAGATTACCTACGGCCTCAAACAAGGTTAAACATATCTCAGTAGAAATAAAAGGGCCAAAACAGAAGCGGACTTAAAGATTTTGTCTAATGAGCTGTGCTTACATGGCAAAGCAAAAACATTTCATAAGCAGTCCATTATAACTCACACATGTAAACAGAGTTAACATCTTATAACATTTGGTACATCCCGGAACTTTCAGACATGTAGTCAGCCAAACAAAAAGTCTATATACATAGGTGGTCCAACATAATCACCAAGGGAGCAAAAAGGGTAAAACAAAAGAACAAAAACAAAGTCTCATGTGTGAGATGTTCGGGCTGACTTTCCCAAAACTTGGGGGTTTCTCTCACATCCTTCACTGAGGCTGGGTTTGGACATCTCTTTGCTCACCTACATACATATAAATAAGAGTGAGCTAACGCCCAATGAATAAGACCTAACAGGTTAACCCGCCACCACCACCACCACCCACTCGCTACCACCCACCACTGTCACCCACCCATCCACCACTACCACCCCCACCCACCCGTCACCACCACCCACCCGCCACCATCCGCCACCACCCGCTACCCACCACCCACCGTCACCACTTTCCACCACCGTCTTCCGCCGCCACTTGCCACCACTTGCCATTTCTCACACTTTTTTATATTTTTAAATTTTTTTAAACATTTTGTCAATTACCAAACACATTTGTAGTTTATGTTTTTCTAAAAATAAACAAAAAATAAATAAAAACCAGTTTATAAAATTTTTGTAAATATAAACTGAAAACGTAAACGTTACCAAACAGACCCGTAATTAGGGCCCTCTTCTACTCAGAGTGCCTAATCGAGTGTCTAAGTTGCATACCCTTTGAACCACTACTAATTTGCAGTAGATATGGTACCATAGCGTGGACTGCACTTGCCCTATTTTAAGCAGATAAATGATAAGCATCATAATCTTGGATGTTCTGAAATTACTCCCTTGTCCTGAAAAGCTTCAAAATATCACAAGCTTGTAGAGCTGAGCATTGTTACCTACTTCACTGTCAAGGCTGACAGGTCAAATACCATGAATACACAGACATGAAGAATAGTTGCAAGCAACCTGTTTTAAGTAACTGCTCTTGCAAGGCTGCTCTGTTTTGTTTAAGTGAAGTGTCCAATTAAAATTCATGTGGAAAACGCTCTATATATACTAACATAGATTATCTTTAAGTCAACAATCAGATTTACAATCAAACTGGTATCCAGCCTTGGAGCATTTTTTCCCCAGTCTATGTATCATAGATAGTTTCCGTATGTGTTTTTCTTTTTCAAGGAAGAAGAGAGGAACTGATGAAAGCGAGGAAGATTATTTAGATAAAAAATTTCTGGGAATGCCCATGAGATTCTCTTGGGATTGAGCTCAAAGTCACTGACTGATATGACTTCAAAAGGAAACTTTGGCAAGGATGATATGGATATAGGTCTTTAAAGGAACTCTCTTCTAAGCAATGGCAACAAAGTTGCAGTGAAGCATCTTAATGGCTTAGGCCACGTCAAGAAGTCTTTTTCTTGGCTGAGCAAGTCAAGATAATAGGCAGCACTCACCATCTGAACTTGTTAAGATTGGTGGAACATTGTGACAGGAAATCATGGATTTTTAATTTATGAATGCCGCTGTTTGGTGCAGCTTATGGTGCTGTTTATAGCTCTCCCTTTTTTATGTCGAAAGTTTTTATTAGAGTGTTTGGTATAGTTTCTACTTATAATTTATGAGATAAAAATAGTTTAAATAAGTTAGAAAAAATAGTTTAAATAAGATAGAAAAAAAAATATAGAGTTTTATTAAGACGCAAGTGCAAGGTGTCATGGTATTCAAAATCCTTTATGGAAAAATTTGGAGGATGTTGGCCGGTGCTCTGCTACTCACTCCATTGCTGTCATATGCTTTGTTATGTTGGGGGAAATTTTATACAATAAATCATAAATATTATTGTTAGAAAACTTAGAGGTTAAAGTTAATTATTTTTGGGACACTTATCAGTCTTTTAAAGTGTACATATAAGAAAAAATAATGAAGATGTAGACGGAATGACTAAATTATAATTGGATATAAAGTGTATGGGTCAAACTTGTTCAATTTGAAACTATAGAGACAAAAGTAAAATTTGAGTCAAAATACATTAGAAGTGTAAGATTATACAATACGTTTCTTCATGAAAAATAAAAATTATTCTCCCTTAACAAAATATGAACAAAAGAAATTTAATTTCACTTTTAACTTTATTATAATCAAAATGTAATTTGATGCTATTTTAAATTTTGAAAATCATTTAAATTTGATTTAAAACTAAATTTCAATACAATTTTCCTTTTAATATACAAAATTGGAAAGTCAAGATAACTAAATTTCATTGTAATTTCTCTATCCGTGTCGCACAATATGATAACCTACCTGTGTGGTAGAACTCATTAAATCAATAAAATGATGATAACCATTTAAAATAAAGGGCGAATTACACTAACGGTCCCTATAGTTTTGGTCTTGTGTCACTTTGATCCCAGACTTTTTAATTGTAACACATTTGACCATGAATTTTGAATCTTGTTACAAATAAGGACAATTGAAGATACCATTGTTCGATTTCAAGGGCAAAGTTATTAATTTGATAAAATATAAATTAATTTAACAAAAGTAAATGTAAAAAAATATTTTTTAATTTTTAAAAATTATTTCTACCCACTAAAGATAAAATTATATAAAATTGATAAATTTTTTAGACATTGATTTATTTTTTTAACAAATTAATTTTTATTATGTGTTTGGATGATGATCATGTAATGGGTAGTTGTTTTATTTTCATAAAATTAGTTTCTATTTTTCTAAAAGTCAAATATGGCGACAACTTTGATATCATTATTAACCTAATTCATTAAATCAAAAAATTCAAAACTAAAAATATTTCATATATTAAATATATTGAATTACACATTAAAACTCTAACAACCACCCATTACATAATCCAAACACATAATAAAAATTAATGGTAAAAAAAATTAAATGTCTAAAAGATTTATCAATTTTACATAATTTTATTTTTGGTGGATAGAAATTATTTTTAAAAATTCAAAAATATTTTTTTGACATTTATTTTTGTCAAATTAATTTATATTTTATCAAATTGACGACTTTGTTCTTGAAATTGAGCAATAGTATCTTCAATTGTTCTTATTTGAAACAAGATTCAAAATTCAGTGTCAAATGTGTCACAATTGAAAATTCAGAGACCAAAATGACATGAGCCCTAAACTATAGGAATTGTTAGTGTAATTCACCGTGAAATAAAATACAATATATGATTATATTGTAAAATTATTGGTTTGAAAAAATGACACCAAATCATGTTTTGAGTCTCTACATCTTTGATAAACTAAGCGGGAGATTTCTAAGTTTTTAATAAAATATACGTATAAATAATAAAAAATAAAATAAAATTGAAAATGGGGTCTCCAGGTGCCTTAATGGCTCAGCAGAAAAAAATTGTGCCCATAGATATAGCTAACAAAATTTGTGTTCACCCATGAAACAAAAACTAAAAAAGTGTTAGGCGTGGTAAACAACATTTGAAATGCACTTTATGTGTCGTTTTGCATTCTCCGCCCCTAATTGGATTGTTATCCGGCAGCTCATCAATCTATTATATGTTATGATATTATATTAAATTGTTGATTATCAACTCATTTAAAAGTTTATAATTATTTTTTATTCATATTATATTCTCAATGTGCATTTGCCGACACAAAATCTGGAGTTTGCAGCGCACCTTTCATCTTCAACCGTCTTCCCCTTTTGCTTTTGCAAAAACCAGAACGAAAACCAACTGATGAAGAAGAAGAAACAGATAATGGATAGACCTTATTGTCTGTATTGTTGCTCTATTTATTATTATCTTGTTGCTGCTATCACCTTTTTCATAACGTATGCACCTTTGAACAATGCCCAACCTCCATCTCCATCTCCAGTGGCGAACTTATCCACTTCTTGGATCAACACCCCCTCAATTTTAATTAATTCCAGCGAAGTTATCTTAAAATTGACACCCGTCTTCAATGGATCCATTGACTCACGTTTGATGTGTGGCTTCTATTGCCCTGATATTAATGCATGCCTCTTTGGTGTTGTATTCTTCAATTGGAATAATTTATTTTCCCCCTTCTACTCGTTCACGGTAAATGACCCACAACTAGTGTGGTCTGCTAATCGGGATCGTCCTGTTCAAATTAATGCCACCTTACAACTCACTGGAAATGGAGATTTGATATTGCGAGACGCCGATGGCGCTTTCGTATGGTCTACCAACACATCAGGAAAGTCTGTCTTTGGCTTGAAATTCACCGTATCCGGAAACCTTGTGCTCTTTGACAGAAACGATGCGACGGTTTGGCAGTCATTTGATCACCCAACTGACTCCTTACTTGTTGGACAGACTTTGTTTCCTGGCCAGAAGCTCACCTCCAGCACATCCTCATCGAACTCGACTCCAGGTTTGTTTTCTCTTACAGTTCAGGATTACAGGCTGTTGGGTTATGTAGAATCCAATCCACCCTTGCCCTATTTTCAATCCGGATTAGGTTTCATAAATTATGTGAAATACGACAATGGAAGCTTCAACGGGCAGAATATCCCTCTTGCATCATCATCAGGTCAATTCATAAGGTTGGATCCTGATGGGCATTTGAAGGTTTATGAGTCGGGAGAATTGAATTGGAATGCAGTGGTGGATCTGCTGACACCTGGTATTGGTTATTGTGGGTATCCCATGGTCTGCAGCAATTACGGTATTTGTTCTTCAAATGGACAGTGCGCCTGTCCTGACGATGCCAATAGTGAAACAAGCACTTTCAGGCAAATAAGTTATACACAACCCAACCTTGGATGTTCCCTTGTTACACCCATTTCTTGTAGCCATTCTCAATATCACACCCTTCTGGAGCTTAAGAATACTAGTTACTTTTACTTCAACATAATACACACAGACAAAAACAGTTTCCTCGATGAGAAAATAGATTTAGAGAATTGCAAGAAGAGTTGCTTGAAAAACTGTTCATGCAAAGCCGCTTTGTTTGCATATGATTCAAGGAAAGGTTGCTTATTATTGTCTGAAGTCTTTTCTCTTATAAATAATGAGGGAATGGTTGAGAACGTTACTGTATTTCTTAAAGTGCAGAAATCTTCTACTGCACCAACAAATTCTCCTTCAAAGAAATCAAGGCAAGTCACAATCATGCTGGGTTCCAGTCTCGGAACTTTCTTTGGTGTATTTTTTGTGGTTACCTCTTGCTTTTTCGTACTAACGAAGAAACAAGAATCCGAGGAACTTGACGAATTCTTCGTCGATCAAGTACCAGGGAGTCCTACTAGATTATCTTATGAAGAATTGAGAGTCATGACAAGCAATTTCAACGATAAGCTCGGGGAAGGAGGATTTGGGACGGTGTTTCATGGGACATTAAGCGATGGTACCAAAGTGGCAGTGAAGCGTCTCAATGGTTTTGGTCATGTTAAGCAGTCATTCTTAGCTGAAGTTGAGACAATAGGTAACATTCACCATGTCAATTTGGTGAGATTGGTTGGATTTTGTGCTGAAAAGTCATATCGGCTTTTAGTTTATGAGTACATGTCCAATGGATCCATGGATAAATGGATCTTTCAAAGGCACCAAGAGCTGACACTTGGGTGGCAATCCAGGAAAAAGATCATCATGGATATAGCCAAGGGACTAACCTATCTCCACGAGGAATGTAGGCAAAAAATATTTCACCTGGATATCAAACCCCAAAACATCCTCTTAGATGAACACTTCAATGCGAAAATTTCAGATTTTGGATTGTCAAAACTAATTGATAAGGACCAAAGCCAAGTTGTAACAATGATGAAGGGAACACCTGGCTATTTGGCTCCTGAATGGTTGAGCTCAATTATCACTGAGAAAGTAGATGTCTATAGCTTTGGTGTCGTAGTCTTGGAAATGTTGTGTGGACGGAAAATTTTGGATAGGTCTCAGCCTGAGGAAGATATGCATTTACTAGGTCTATTTAAGAGGAAAGCAAAGGCGGAACAACTTTTGGATATCGTTGATAAATACAATGATGACATGCAGACACATAGAGCAGAAGTCGTGGAGATGATGGGTGTTGCTATGTGGTGTTTACAAAGTGATTTTTCTAGGAGGCCTTCAATGTCGGTGGTGGTTAAGGTCTTGGAGGGTTTTGTAGATGTTGAAAACAATTTGGATTATAACATTACAACTCCTGTGGTACCAAGAGCGATCACAGCCACTGGTCACCAAGAGGATGCCATTGGTGATGCTACTCCATTATTTCCATCAGCTTTATCAGGACCAAGGTAACGAAAGTAGACTCCAACATATATAGATTATAGCTGATTGTTAAAAGTTTTTTGTATTTTGTTCTTTATGTAGTTAACTATATTCTAAGATTTTTATCTGTGCAAATCACGCCCTAAGATACAAAGATTAATGGTGTATTAGATATTGTCTCCTTCCACCAATAAAATTTCAACTCTCAATAATGTTCTTCCTTCTTATCTTTCTTGAAGTTTCTTCCATCATCATTGCCATAGTGAAACCTACAGAACCACATGAATGTAGTGAGCGAAATTTGATTTCCCATACTTAAAATTCAAACATTCTCAAGTTCCAAAGTAAAGGGGGAAGATAAAAGATAGATATTTTGTGAGAAGATGTGAGTTTCTCATGATTCAAGTAAAACAAGAGTGCCAATTAATTGGTTTTTCAAACTTTCTTTCCAAAAGAAGTGTAAATTAATTTTGAAGAAGGAACAAAGCCAGCTTATATTTTGGACAAATTCAAAGCCATTTTTATGGCTAATTCATTTGGTTGATGGGATATATTCTTGAATTGCTTGGAAAGAAAACATTTTGTAAATCTGTTAAGTCTGCAGAATGTGCATTTTCCCCCCCTCACATTGAACTTGACTGGGAAAACAAGAAGAGAGTGGCATGCACTTGCCATGTTGTTTACCCTTTGCTTTTTCATAATCTACTGATCAGTAGAAAAAGAAAAAAACCGAATCTGTATTGCACTAATTTTCTTTCCTTCATGCTCGATTCAGCACTTTTGAACAATGCCCAGCTTGTTGAGCATTAAATCTGCCCCAATTATATTTGGAATCTGCTTCAGAAGGAAATCCATTTGTCAAATTCGAGAATGGAAGCTTCAACGGCTGCACAATTCCTCTTTAAACAAGCACTTCTTATGACCATCAATATCATAGTCTTCTGAAGCTCAAAGATACCAAATACTTTATATTATAGTCAGTTCCCTATGGTGGGGAAACAAGGTTGGCTTGGAAAAACTGAGTTGGAGGATTGCAAGAAGACTTGTTTGAAGAACTGTTCATGTAAAGGACCTTTATTATTTGCATATCAAATGGCTAATAATCTTTTCAAGGGGAGGTTGCTTATTACTGTCGGAAGTCTTTTCTTTTACAACTAATGAGGGATGGTATGCCAATGTCTTTGTGTTTATAAAGAGATCCAGTCTCGATGCTTTCATTGGTTTGTGTATGTGCACTTTTCTTTCTTTCTTTCTTTCTTCTTCTTCTTCTTCTTCTTCTTCTTCTTCTTCTTCATTTTTTATCACTTCACCTAGTCTTATTTTAGCTTCACATTTATGCTCAAACATTCCAGGAAACTCTTTGTAATGCCTCATTTTCCTGGGTGCTGCAATGCTGTCATAATATTGCTGTAGCTTTTCCTCAAGAGAGGTTTCAATCAGCTTCATGCAAACTTTCAGCATAGGGGAACCAGTTTCATCTTGTCGCCTTGCCATTAATCTCTTTATTATTATTATTATTTATTATTTATTTTTTCAAAATTTTAGTGATTCATCCAAAAATTGAAAAAATAAATGATTTGTTCTTTAAGGTTGAGAGGTTTGAGCATGAGAAATTCCTCAAGTTTATCTATGAAAATTTGATGACCTTGGAATTACACATCAAGTGAGGTATAATCAAGCAACTTTGCTTTGATCTAATGATTATATTCATTCAGAAGAACATCTTCATTCCAAATGATTGGTTTTTCATGAATTGAATGGCAAAGAGTATGACGATGGTGAAAGCAGTCTCAAAGAAGACATAGATGCCCATAGCATGATGACACAAAATCAGTTAAGAAACTCTTTGACATGTTAAACATAATTCACATATAAAATTATTCATAGAACTAACAATATTTTATACTTGTTCGATGATTAATTTTGTTTAGTCCATTATATTCCAATAATTTGGAATGTAATCCTCTTGGTCCATGATATATAGCAGTCAATTGGGCATATGGCTAGCCTGGGTGGGTCACCTTGGGACATATAAGATTGAATTGGTCCTCTTTGGAGGCAGTACACCTCTCTTCAGAACTTGATTGATTAGGGTCTTTGCTCCAATCAATATACAAGTTGTCACATTTATTTGGTCCTCTTTTGGCAGCACAGCACAGACAACGGTAAACCACTTTTCAACTAAATTCCATAAATATGCATTAAGGTGTTGATGGCAGGAATGGTCATTTTCTCTCGCCCTACTCCCACCCCGTATTTCCTGTCCCATTTCACATAGATTTTCTTTGCTCCGATGAGAAAGTAGGGTGTGGACGGATTTTGCTTCTCCTTTCCTGTTCTAACCTGCCTCCGCACTGTTTATATTTACTAAAGGACAACAGATTAAGTTTCGTGCCTCCACGTTTCATACTCTATTTTTTTCAATAATTTTTCTTTTCACTACTTTTATTTACTCATTCTTCTTAATCAATCACTGTTTTTAACTCTTTTCTCCAACAGAATGTGTAGGGTTCATGATTTTGTATTAGGTGTTTAGGAAACAACTGTGGGCTTGGTGGTTTGCGATTTGTGGTGGTTGTTTAGGAAACAGCAACAGAGGTCATGATGGTTTGCGATTGGTCAAAAGTACAACTACGTGCTGCGCTGAATGACGAAATAATTTTTCCAGCAATTGAGGTGCATGGTGATCAAGCAACTTTGCTTTGATCTGATTGGATGAAAGAGCATAATGATTACATTCATTCATTCAGAACATCTTCATTCCAAATGATTGGATTTGGATGAATTGAATAGCAAAGAGAGTGATGATGGTGAAAGCAGGAGTAAGTAACAAAGAAGCTAGATGCCATATCATGATGACACAAAATTGGTCAAGACACTCTGACATTTAAATATAATTTACATTTAAATTAACTGTAAAACTAACATCATTTTATCCTTGTTCAATAATTTGTGTGTAGTTGGTTATATTCCAATAATTTGAAATGTTACCCTCTTGGTGCATGATATATAGCAGTCAATTGGGCATGTGGCTAGCCTGGGTGGGACACCTTGGGGCAGATATGACTATGAATTGATCCTCTTTGGAGGAAAAATTATTTAGTGGTATCAGTTGTCACGTGTACCAATCACCAAATATCAAATCTCTTATTGTTTTTCCATGTCCTAATATAAATTCGCGAGCTACACTTTTTTCACTAATCACAACATTCCTGACAATATTTCTAAGGCATCACCTGACAATACCTCAGGATCACCAAATAAATTTTCTTTGGAACCACTTCAATTAATGCACCTGCCTTCGAAAACTTGATTAGGGTGTTTACTCCAATCAACATACTAGTTGTAAGTTGTAACATTAATTTGTTCTCCCTTTTGGTAGGATAGACCACAGTAGACCTTCCTTCAACTATACTTCATAAATATGCATTAAGGTATCGATGGCAAGTATGAGATGTGAAGTTCTTTTTATACTTGTTGGACAGTTAATTTTATGATTTGATTCAGCTTAGTTCATTTTTTTTTTGGGTTTAATCTACCACAAACATGAATTAAACTAAAACAAAAGCGGGAAACCTTGTGCTTAGTGATCCAAACATTACTAATTGTTGAGTCAAGATCCTTTGTCTTCTTTACTTGTCCCAATCCTCTGTCCAGATCCCAATCCTTTGTCCCATTATCCACGAGTTGCCATGTGTCTATCGCTAAAGAAAAACTAATCCTCCACAGTTTTTTGCCAGTTTTTTTTTTGGGAACTTCCAAAAAAAAAATTTTTTTTTTTTTTTTTTTTGGGTCTTTGGTGATATTTTTTCAAATCTGATCAGCTTGCTTGGTTGTGTTTTTTCAAAAACACCTTTTTAGAAAATTCTACTTTCCTATTTTCCGTATTTTTTCTTTTTACTGATTTTTTTTAATATTTTAAGCAATTTTTTTATTTTTATTTTTTAGACATGCCTAACATAAATATACCTAAAAAGTAAAAAAATTGTGAAAAAAATATTTTAAAAATTCACTAAATACCAAAAAAAAAAAAAAGAGAGAATTCAATACATTTTTTTATATTTTTATGCATTTATTAAAATTTTAAAATATTTTTTCATAAATTTTTTACTTTTTAGATACATCTAAGTAAGGTGCATCTAAAAAAGTAAAAAAAAAATGTTTAAAATTTTAAAAATATTCATTAAAAACAAAAAAATACGAAAACCAAAAAATTGAGTTTTCAAAAAACTTAATTCAAAAAACTCAAACCAAACACACTGATTAAAATTTTTTACTTTCCGAATCTGTGTAGACAAGCTTAAAAAGTAATTTTTTTAGAAAAAAATTACAAAAGAATTGGATAAGCCATAATAAGGCCCCTCCCCCCCCCAAAAAAAAAAATGTTTGTTTTCAGTTTTTTGAAAACGTTTTTCAGAAAATTCTACTTTCTTGTTTTTTTGTAATTTTTTTTTTGGTTTTTACTGATTTTTTAATATTTTAATCAATTTTTTTTAATTTTTAGACACACTTAAACATAAATACACTTAAAAAGTATAATTTTTGTTAAAAAATCTTTAAAAAATTCACTAAATACCAAAAATAAAAAAAAAATAAAAAAACATCTAAGTAAGCTGAATTTAAAAAATTAAAAAAAAAAGGCTTAAAATTTTAAAAATATTTACTAAAAACAAAAAAATACGAAAAATAAAAAACTTAATTTTCAAAAACTGAATTCAGAAAACTAAAACCAAACACATTGATTTTTGTACTTTCTCGACATTTTTTTAAAATTTTAAAAAAAATTTCAATTCATCTGGTCAAGTAAAAACCAAAAATCTAGAACTTTCATTTAAAATTTTTTTTTTTTTTTAAACTAAAGATGAAAATAAACTAACTGAAAAACTAATAAAAAACATACCCCCAAACACACACACTTACTCAAGTAGATGTGCATGGTATGATTCGGACAGTTTGAAAGTAAATTAATTGACGGATTGACAAATTACGATTTAAACGATTTTAGGTGGATTGAAAAATATTCTAACAAATTATTAAGCCTTTATATAATATATAACACTAATTTACATAATATTTTTCATATATACAGCACAAATGCACCGCTTTTTGCGTTGCCCCTCGGTTGTGCAATGGAAAGTGTTTGGGACCCCCACAAAGGAAGACTCCCATAGATGTATTGACCATTTAATGTGTTTGAATTTTTTTAAGAATTGTGTTTGACAGTAACATAAATAATTTAAAACATTTTGAGAGGTATGGGGTTAGGTATTGTGAGTTTCTCTATCATTATTGGGCTGTGCATTAAATCCTCGAGACTTTGCAACTCACCGCTTTCTTCTTCCGTAGAAGAAACAGAGCTCTAATGGATAGACCACCACCACCAATAGCTCTGTCTTGCTCTATTTGTTATCTTCTTCCTGCTGTTTTCACCTTTTTCATTGCCTCTCTACCCTTCTTCAACAATGCCCAATCTCCATCTCCAATAGCTAAGTTATCTACTTCTTGGATCAATAACCCCTCAATTTACATTAATTCCTCCGATATTCAGGGTTCAAATCTCACTCCAGTCCTCCAAACATCACCATCCAATGCCTCACAAATGATGTGTGGCTTCTATTGCCCTTCTACACAACAAATTCAGCCATCATCATGCCTCTTCGGTGTTGTAATCTTCCAAAATACAAGTTTTCTGCATTTCGGCAACTTTTCCCTTATAAATTACCCTCAACTTGTTTGGTCAGCTAACCGGGACCGTCCTGTTCAAATTAACGCCACTTTACAACTCACTCGAGATGGAGATTTTGTTGGCTCCATCCACTACCCACATGGTAATGGAACCACCATTCACATAGTGTGGGTAGCACCATGTTGTAAAAGAAGATGGTGGAGGGTGGGAAACTTGGTGCTCTTTGATCGAAACAATGCAACGGTTTGGCAGTCATTTGATCATCCAACTGACTCCTTACTTGTTGGCCAGACTTTGTTTCCTGGCCAGAACCTCACCTCCACCACATCCTCATCCAACTCGACTCCAGGTTTGTATTCTTTTACGGTTCAGGAGGATAACATTCTGGTGGCTTCTGTAGAATCCAATCCACCCTTGCCCTATTTTCAATCCTATTTAGATGTGAAATATCTTAAATTCGAGAGTGAAAGCTTTTTGGGGCAGAAAATCCCTGTTGCATCAATCATTGTCAGCTCAGGTCATGAGGTTGGAGCCTGATGGACATTTGAAGGCTTATGAGTGGGGTGGATCGAATTGGAATGTGGTGGCTGATCTGCTGACATCATCTATTGGTGACTGTGGTTATCCCATGGT